CGAAAGGAGTGTCTTTTGTCATTCATAACAAGCCCCTTTCAACCTTGCCAGAGTTTATGTTAATGAGGTGATCTTTGGAAAGCCCCTAAGGATAGGGGGTGGTTGCCAAGGAAACCAGCCACGTGATTAGAGGATTGGAACTTTCAGCCCCACCCCGAAAGCCCAGGCTCCAATCTCCTTGGAGGGGAGAGGGGCTAAGGTTTGAGTTGATCACAATGGTCAACGTGATGCATATGTAATGCAGCCGCCATAAAAGCCCCAAAGGATGGTGCTCAGAGAGCTCCCAGGTTGGTGAGCACGCAGAGGTGCTGGGAAGGTTAAGTGCCTGAGAGGGCATGGAAGCTCCACGCCCCTTCTGCCACACCCTGCCCTACCAGTCTCTCCCATCTGGCTGTTCCTGAGCTGTATCCTCTTAAAATAAACCGGAAATCTACTAAGTAAACTGTGTTCCTGAGTTTTGTGAGCTGTTCTAGCAAATCATTGAACCCAAAGGAGGGAGTCGTGGGAAACTCTGATTTACAGCAGGTCAGTCAGAAGCACAGGTGACAAGCTAGACTTGCAACTGGCCTCTGAAGCGGGGGCAGTCGCTTGGGACTGAACCCTTAGGCTGTGTGATCTGTGCTAACCCCAGACAGACAGTGTCACAATTGAACTGAATTGTAGGACACCCAGCTGGTGCCCAGAGAGCTGGACAATTGGTTGGTGTGAGGAAAAAACCCACCTTTGGTGTCACAATGTTGTGAGAGAGTAGAGAGAACAGTTTTGTTTTCCTTTTTTAAAGATTCTTTCCAAATACAAGATGCCCTGGTCAGTGATTATAATTTTCGCTAGAGCCAGTTCAAACTGACATCACGAATAACAGTTTTTACTGAACCAGATGTTTCCCCACCCCCAGGATCTCATTACAAGATTCCTCAAAACGAGGCAGATGGAGCTCGGAGAACTGCGGCCATATTCCCCAAATTATGACAGGGAGTCCCCTCTCGTCCCCTACAGCTTCCTCCTCCCTCCCCAGGACACACACACTCACCAGTTCCAGAACTGCTTCCTTCCGAAATAGGCTCTGGGCTCGTATGTGTACAGCTTCAGGAGGATCTCGATGACATAGAGAGAAAGGAAAAGCCACTCCGCATAGGAAACGAAGGGGTTTTTCTCATCCAGAGCAATGAATATGGCATTTATTAGAATGATGACATCAAAAACCCAGACAAAAATCCTGGCATGGGGAAAAAGAAAAAGAAAGAAAAAGAAATCCTGTCATTTGCATTTCAGGGAAAGGAACATGAGCCCGTTTAGGACTCTGCCCCCCACCATACACACGCACTCCTCATCTACAGAAGGTTCCAGTGGGGCTGGCCCCTGAAGTTCCCCTCCTCCTGCTGCCTGGTGCAGCCCCCCTGTCCAAGGAGAAAGCGAAGACACAGTGAGGAGAGAGGGCGCACAGCACCTGAGTCAGATGAACACTTAGGCAGAATCAAGGGGCAGGGAGAAGGCTTAGGGTCCACCACAGGATCGTCATACCCCTGCCACTCTTCCCTGAAAAATTAACTCCTTAACTAAGAAAGCTCCTGAAAACGTCTTCACCCCTAACGCACGTAGGTCTTCCAGGGGACTGTCACATTCATCTTCCTCACCAAGTCTGGAGCGAAATGGGTGGAACAAACATGATAGCTGGGCTCTGACTCAACTTTTCAGTTCCAGAGCAGGCTGCCCCAGGTAGCTCAGGTGCCAGTCCCCTGTGCCCCAGGGAATCCTACCTATACCACGGCCGTGGCTCTGGGCAGACAGAGGAGGGACTACCTCAGTGTTCTCTGTGGCGCCTAGACACTAGGGCCGGGCACTTGGTGCTACGTGCAGACACGCTAACATCCAACACGTGAAGCACATCAGGAGTTCAATGTTGGGATTAACCGAAGAAAGCCTAGCCATAAATTAGGGCTTTGATAAATATAAGATACAGGCAGCTACAAGGGATATTTGCCAACATCAATAGGCTGAGCTACCTTCAAGGACTTCTGAACCATTCACTTTCATGAAACATTAAATTCAAAGAATGCAAGAGGCCACCAAGGCTAAGAACGAGTCTTTAATAATAGGGGTAGTCCAGGCCACAAATATTAAAAATAAAATCTCAAACCAAGATAAATGGCTCTTTCTGGAGGCCATCTACTTGAACATAAAAGAATTAATTAATTGTTAACAATCATTCAAGCAACTCTAACTCATGGGTTCTTACCATATTTAGTCAAAGAAGCAAAGTGCCATGTTTGATTCAACTTCATATTTACTCTGATGGGGCTAGAATCTTCTGAATTCAGAGAGTGGCCAGAGAGCATATTTAGTCTGCAGCCCCTGAGCGTCTCAGGAAACATAATCCAGAAAGGAGCATAATCTAGAAGCCTGTCCTTTTGGCTAAGGTCAAACATAGTTTTTCCAGAGCCTTTTGCCTGCCTCCCTGAGACACCAAAAGCTGGGACCAGGGGGTTTATTTGTAGCTTCATTGATGAAACACATTCCATCCAGTTGGCATTAGCAAATTCCTTTATTTTTAAAGCAACTGGAGAGAAACTGGCCCCGTCTCACTTGCCTGTGCCGAACCACCTTCTGGACCAAGAGGCTTGCAGATGACTGGTATACCCGTGGCACCCAGGCTTCCAATGGGTGTCTCTTGATGTTAATGGTGACTACCTGGATGTTGAGGAGGTCAGCCAAGCGTAGAAAGTTCATTTTATCTGCAATGAAAAAACAACCCCCAAATCCACGGCCATTGTCCATAAGGTACAAAGGGTAAAGTGAATTCAACACAGACTCTTGACTTCACATTTCACCTGAAGCCTCAAAGGGTGAAGGCCCAAGGCCAAGGGGCCAGCACATGGCAGAGCCAGCCTGTGACCCAGGCCTCCTGTCTGTCCTTTACTCAGACCCCTCAGCCAACCCAAGGTAGCAGGATGTGGTTGTGCTCATTTGCAGATGCCACTGCCTTGCTCTCTGCCGCCCACCCTCCTTGCCTCTTGGCATGGGTCCTCGCTGCTCTCAGGGTCTGCCCTGACCTGCCTTTCTAACCTCAACCCAATTTTCCCTTCCTTTTCCTCGAAGTTTCCAAGGTGTATGTAATCCTTACCCTTCTACTTGAGCTCCTGCCTTCTGCTCTGCCGCCCCCACTCCCTGCCCTTTTCTCAGGGATTTACTCAAACCCACAGCTCCCATGATGAGTTCGCCCACCCCACCAGGCCAAAGCACAATGAGTGCTTTCTTACCCAACCTGGACACACCCGAGACTGACCAGCTGATGGTCTCCAGCCCCACTGAGTGCCCAGGGCCAACGGGCCATTCTCCACCGCCCGGCGCACCTTTCTCCCTCCAGGCAGGTCACTGGGCTGGTTCCCAAATCTGTTTATGCATGGACTTCCAGTAATTATGTGTAACTTACAGAAATATCACATCAGTGGATGAAATCAGACGTGAAGCGTGTTGCTGCTTCTTTGAAAACTACATTGAATGCTTTGGGCACTCCAAAGAAAGTTGCTGAAATAAACTGCAGGTGCAAAGACTGGGGCAAGAGTTTTAAAAACTCAGAAAGCTTCCCGTTTAGGGTGCCTGGCACACACCCAGGTCTCCACTTCAGTATTGAGAAGTAAACACAGAACCCTCGTTCCACAGGTGGCACACATTACACATTCATGTTGCCATTTTCCCTCAATGCCATATGGCCCCAAGAACATGAATGAACATGAGTCCATTGAGTTAAATGAAAAACACACTTAGATATCTTAAGATCTGTTAAGTTTCCAGGTCTTTAGAGCTAGAAGGAAAATACACATACACATCTTAATGGCCAAAGACACGTAAAACCCACTCAGGGAGAAGTGCAGCCTCAGGGAGTTAGGTGACATGCATAACTTGGATCCAGGGACCTGGGCTGCGTGAGCCCCACTATGGGAGGTTATGGAGACTCTGAGAATTCAGCCCAAATCTCTGGCCATTAAATCGCCTCAATCGACAGAGGGGAATCCATCAATCTCACTGTAGTCACATCTTTTAATCCAGAAGATTCAGTAGAACAAAAAAGACCAAAGAAAATAAAAACCATAGTAATTTTGTGTTAAGAAGCAATCTGTACCCATCTGCTATTTCACGTTGTAGCTTCGAGGTCAGCGAACTCTATAAAGGGTCTGGTACCATATATGTTAGGCTTTGCAGGTTATACAGTCCCTGTCACAACCACTCAATTCTGTCGTTAAAGCACAAAAGCTCTGTTCTGGTAAAACCTATTTACAAAAACAGGCGGTAGGCCATATTGGACCTGTGGGCCATATTCTGCCAACCCTTGTTGTAGATACATTATTTGCCTCATCATTCTCTTTGATAATAATTCTCTTCAGACCTTATAAGTTTTGTGTTTCTCAGTTTAACACTAGATTTAAGTTTTAACACTTTCGTTACTAACAGAATTCCAGTGTTTAGCCTTGGAAACCACAAATCCGTACAACTGCTGACCAAGGGAAAAGTGAGAAGGTTCACAGAAGGACTGCTATTCCTTGCCTATGCAAAGCTGGGACCATCTGAGGCACGTAATCCTGTTGGGCTTTCTGTTATTAAAGCTGTCTTTGCAAGTGTTACTTACACAAAGAAGTCTCTTGGGACACCCAGACAGCAGACACTACTGCTGTGTCCTATGAATTATAACCTGTGATTCCCCCAAAGGCAACAAATCAGGTTATCTATCTTCCTTAAAAACATGTTTGCCCCAGAAATAATATTTAAATTGACACTGCTGTTTTGTAAAAGGTAAAATACTGGAGAAGTCTGTTAAACCATACGCTCACTGGCACTGTCTTTTGCCACATCTATGGAGCTTTAAATAAAAGCTATGACTGATGGATTTCTTTTTTCAAACTTAGATGAGTCTTGGTCTCATTTAATTTACAAATAGGACCACAACTCAGGTGACGAAACTTAGAAGGGCTAAGGACCGAGGACCTGGCCGCCTTGGTGACCCCAATCATGAGCCAGCAACTAGAGGCCAGGGTACCTGTGGGTGTCTCAGGAGGCGCCTGGTCCCTGGAGTGGTGCCAGTCAGTCCCCTGGTCCCCCACCTTCCATGAGGTAAGTGCTGAAAATTAGAACGTTGCAGAGCAATTGACAGGATAATTTCATGTTGAATCTAATAATGAAAACCCAGGACTTATATTTGATATGTTCTTTTAATTTCACTTTTCTAGTTATTGATTTTCATTGTATTTTATCAAAGTATCAGTCTATGACAGATCGGAAATTAAAAAGCTTCACCACACACAGCTTGAGAAGCGCTGTGCTCCAGGGCTGCCCTGTGTGGCTCCAGCCCCCTGCCCCATCATTAGCAGAACATGCACGTGCTTCATGGCATGTAGAATCACTGACTGTCTCCAACAGGGGGCACTAAAGCAATCTGTTCAGGTCCGATCAGTCTGACCACCTGACCAGACACTCGACACCATGACATCGAGCCACATGGCTGAGGAGATGCTGCCTGGGGCTCAGGCAAAGGCCTTCCTCCATCCTGCACTGGAAGATGTTGATACCCAGTGAACAGCATCTTGCTACACGTTTCTCTCTTTTTCCCCTGAACACCAGATTCAAGTTCCACAGAAACTTGTGACCTTCTCACACATGCATGGAGACACAATAAAGCCCATAGTTCTGCTGGATTAGTTTGAGAGTCCTTGTCTCATTTAAATTAACAGATACTTACAATCTCACCATCCTATCAGACCTACCACTCTATTTTGGTGTATTTTCATGTAGACTTTTTAAAAAAAACTGGTGAAATGAGCGTGTTCTACAGTTAGGGTATATTTTAGTCACCTCACTTTGTGTTGTTACCTCATCTTTGTGGTCATTTTTATTGCCATCAAAATTTCTCATTAGTGACCATCAGAATTTGCAGCAGTTTAGCACAAGAATAAAAAGTGCAGGCCTTAGAGTCAGAGGGCCTCCGCCACTCTGCAGCTGCACGGCCTGGGGCACATTACTTATCCTCTCTCAGTCTCAGTTTCCTTGTTGACAAATTAAGATAACAAAAATACCTCGCTATGTGTAGGCAAAGATCATACAAGCATAATGCATGGGAAACAAGTGGCACAATGCCTCATGCATGATAAACATGCCGCAAATATTATTCATAATGGTTATCAATCTTTAATACATGAATATTTAGGTTATTGCCAACTTTTCACATTCAAATATGAAATGCAAGTTAAACATCTAGTTATGTAGCTCTTTTCCATAGTTCAGATTACCTCCCTAAGGCAGGACTGCAGAAGTGGAAGGACCACGTGACTAGGTGAGGGCTTTTGGATGCCCAGGACCTGCTGACGCTGCCGGTGGCACCGTACGCTGGAACAGACTGTCAGAGTACGGCAGGAGGACACTAATCCCACGGTACCGCTGCCAGCAGGGAGCACTCATACACATTTTATTTGCTGAAAGTGCTAGTGCGGCTTTACCCACCACTCTGACAAGCCCAGTTTGGGAGTCGCAGGAAAGAGGAAGGTCAGAGGAGAAGGCTTCTCACCCACATGGCCGGTCTGTCCCTCGTCGGAGATCCTTAAAAGGAGCTCCAGGTGGCCGCTGCTCATGTCTGGTGCCACGGTGCGCACCAGCCGTCTCCACTGGGCCTCCTCAACCACGAACTCCGGGCCCACCTTGACTTTCAGAATGTTGAACGCCTCTATCATTTTGTGACGCTTGAGGTATGCCAGCTTGCGAATCTCATTCTTAAAAAACCGGAATTGTTTATGTTAAGAGCAAGAGTCCAGAAAGTGTCACTTCTCTATGCCAACACTGCAAGGTATGCAAAGAGCCAGAGAGAAGTCACGCGGGCTGGCTGGCAAGCAGCCCTGTCTGCGTCAGCAGAACTCGTCGTACCAAGTTTCAACGAGGGAGCCCGTGAAGGCAAATCTGTGTGGTGAGAGACAGAGCGACAGGAGGCAGGCAGCTCCAAACTCCGCTCCGCCCAGGAGCAGGGCAGACTCCAGAAAGGAAGTCGGGTGTGCCACTGAGGGGAGAGAGACCCAGGGAGGGGGAAGAGAGATCTACGGCTCCGTCAGTCGAGGAGGAGAGGACGGGGAGAGAAAAGCCAGGGAAGTGAAACTAGGCAAGAAGTTGTCCCGGGCAGGAAGGACAGCTGGGCCCGTCTGGAGCTGCCATCTGGCCTGACCACAGGGAATCTTCCAGAAACAGGGAGGCTCAATATCCGTCCTCAGGTTATAATCGGCCGTCCAGTTGCCATGCCCGTCTCTACTTCTCCTGTAGATCTGTCACCAATACCATCATCATCACTTAATAGATTCCACAGCTAGACTGTGAATTCTTAAAGGGCAACGACTGTGTCTTGATCGTCGTTGATGCCCCAGAACCTTGTATGGCGCCGGGCACGTACAGCACGTCTGGGATATGTTTACTGGCTGAGGCACACTGCAGATTAATTTCCAAGAGGCATAGCAACAGTTCTGTCCAGCAGTGAAGCAGGGGAGAGGTCACCAGACCCTCTGCAGTGGCCTCTTTGGCCAGAGGGAGGAAGCGGCCAGGGAGGCCTGGCCTCGGAGTCAGGAGGGACGGAGACTGCTTAGGACCTGGACAGGGCCAGACACCTTCAAAGGCCAGACTGGCCAAATCTGGACCTGGCCCCACCGTCCCCTTCTCCTGAACTGCAAACATTAAAGTTTTCCTGACTTCCTACTTGCTCCCAGTGGGAGCATCCCTAAGCAAGGAAAAATTCAAAACAGAACCAAAAACTCAAAAGCCAAGAGGTTGTGTCTTTCCTAACAGAAAATCACCCTTTGAAGAAAGAAAGGCTTCTCTGTGCGAGGCTTTCAATAAAAGAAACAGCCCCCAGAGGTGTGTGAAGGTGGGAGACAGGGGAAGGGGGCGTGGATGAGATGAGTGAGGCGTCCCTGGGGATTCCCAGGTACGAATTAAACCTCTTTCCACCCCAAGCACTCAGAAGCCTCTGCCCACCCAGCATCTCCAGGAATTCTCCAGACATAAATCAAGCAGGCAGGCAGGAACCAGGGCAGAAACTGTTGGCTTTAAGAAGTGTCTGCGTCTGTTCAAGAGGAAAAAGAAGCTTGGAGAATATTCCCAATCCCCAGTCACACTCAGAACGTT